GGCTTGAAGCCAACCGCGCGCCCAACGCTCCTACCATTTTCACAACTACCAGTGTGAAACCCGGAGGAAAGGGTGCCACACTTTAGATGTCGTCTACTAACTAGTACTTTAGCAAATATCAATATCTATGTAAGCAGAGATAGATGCTAAGACTGGCAGAGATTGAATGGCTGATAAGATTACATAATATCAGATCTCTTCGGCATCTTTGAGACATCTTCTATTGTCTTTTTAACCCATCTTTTTCAGAAGTATTGAAAAAAAAAAGACTAGGAGCAATTGCAAGGTTTAAATCCAATAGTTACCAATATTGAGTTGTTCTTCTTCAAAGAGAATTGTTTATAGGCCATCCTAGGACTTTAGACTTTGAAGCTACATACAGTATTCATCTACAATGACCACTTTAACTCTCTAATTGTGAGATTTAATAGCCAAATATCAGTTGCTCAATTATTTTAGAATTATTTATTCTCAGGGCTTTAGTCTACACAAAACATTTATCTTAATATGCAGTATATTACTTAATTTCTGCAATAGAACAATGTTATTTGGTTTTTAATCAATTAACTTTTAAGTAGTTCTTTCACACATTTTTAAGGTCTGCTAAAGGAACATGACTTATTGCTTATAAAGGCTCATACTTAATAAAAAAATTATTTCTGCAAATGTGTACACATGCATTTCATGTAATCTGTGTTTTCAGATGAAAAATTGAGGGCTAAAATACTGCTAGCAATTGTTTTTGACTTCTGTTAATCCAAACACACTAAGAAGCTCATATGATTATCTTTAAAAAAATTAAAGTTATCTGGTAGCCTGGATATTATTTAATGTAAATAAAATAATCAGTTGATTATGTACTAGAATTTGAAAGTTTGTCCTCCATTCTAATCTACCATTATAGCTCCATTCCGTTTTTTTCTTAAGGCTGTATTTTTTTCTTCAGGAATTTCTTTTAAAAATACTGACACTCCTAGCATGAGCCAATCGATGGCATCAAGTAACATCTTAATTTTCAGTAAATATCTTAGCAGGAGATGACATGTTTTATGAAAGTGGCCAAGGGAAAAAATCTTAGTTAACTTTGCAATTTTGCTTTAAGAGATGCCACGTAGCTTAAAAGGCGTTTTTTTCCAAATATGTCTCAGTTTTACTATACTAGAAAAAGCAAATCATACTTTTAAGGGAATTTGTTCTTGTTCTGTTCTCTGCCTTCAGGGATTGGAAGAAAAAGTCCCTTTATCTGAACTGAGTGTATTAGATCATTGCTTAAAATAAATTCTTATAGCATAACTTCCTGCCGTGACTATTTTAAGCAAGTCTCTCTTTAGCGATGTTTCATGCATGAAATGTGCTAATATTTAATAAAGTAAATGTTTATGAAGTATCAATTTATCTTATGATATCATTAAAATAAAGTTATTTGAATACATTATAAAATTAGATGTTGTCTACATAACTGATATTTCTTTATATCTCTATAAAATGTATAATTCATAAGGGGATTATGTATGCAAAGGTAATAATTTATATTATGTAGGTATCCACCATTCCAATTTATATAAATCACTCTATTGCTAAGGATACTCCACAGTAGCACATAAGTGTCAAAATGTAGTACTTTAGCAGTGTTTAGACCTACGTGGTTTGCACTGGCTCAGTGCCCCTCGGCAAAGATCCAAACTCTCCTGCGGAGGAAACCACACATATTGGGACTCTAAGGGTCTGAAGGCTGTCCTTTGTACTCTTTAGGGTTAAAGCAACCTACAACATATAATTGAGTTATCAGTGACTGGTTGGGTTTTTTTTTTTTTTTTTTTTCCTTGGAAATGGTTTAAAAAAAAATCTGTAGAAATACTCGGAAGTTAGCAAAATTTTACAATTTTTATATGTGATACTTTAAGGTTTGATTACAAACAAGGCTGTGCCTCTTGAAAAAAAGGGCATTTCGCCGGCGCGTGGTGGCTCAGCTGTAATGCCCAGCACTTGGAGGCCGAGACGGGTGGATCACGCAGGTCAGAAGATCGAGACCATCCTGGCTAACACGGTGAAACCCGTCTCTACTAAAACACAAAAAATAGCCCGGCGACGGGTGGCGGGCGCCTGTAGTCCCAGCTACCGGGAGGCTGAGGCAGGAGAATGGCGTGAACCGGGAGGCGGAGCTTGCAGTGAGCTGAGATCCGGCCACTGCACTCCAGCCCGGGCTACAGACGAGACTCCGTCTCAAAAAAAAAAAAAAAAAAAAAAAGAAGGCCATTTTCATTCATATTTGCCATGGGCATTTAGCGTAGAATCACCAGAAATTTATACAAATATCATTCACAAAATGCGTTTTGTAATAATTATTTAATAATACCTTTTTACTGTCTTTACTGTTGTTCAGACGAGATTTTGAGTCTACTAGAGTGAATAGTGCAGGTATATAATTAGTAAATATTTGACAAATAAATGATTGCAGAAGAGGAAAGTCAAAAGTAATTAGACTTTTGGGGAACATTTCCACTATCTAGAAAATAAAAATTAAGTAGACTGAGTTGTTTTTTTGTTTCTGTTTTTTAAATTCTCTGGCATTTAAAGAAGATGGATGAGATTATGACCTTCTTTTTGTCTTTTCTGAAATATTTTTTGAGAGAAAGGACTATTTCTATAGGGACTTAGACTTAAAAGCAAGTATAAGCACACATTGCAAGGATGTGACACCTCACAACTTAACTATTCCGAAGTTTAACGATTCCAAATTTGGTCCGTAAGGCCTCTCTTCAGCTAGCGAATACTCGTGGACTCCTGCTCTGGGACGGGGTCTGGAAAGATGATGCTTATTGATTTGACAGTCCCTTCCCCCAATACTAGATCAACATGGAGCAATCAGAACCACCCAGAAGTGATCACATTGCGAGAGAAGGACATGAATCTAGAACGGTGTTTGCCATTTCTGACACTTTTGTGTAGGTTGAGTTTCTCCAGAAGCCAACTCTGAGATGAAGATTATATCATCAGAGAGTGTTTTTGGAATCAGCCCAGTGGGAGGAAAGCTAGGAAGCAGTATTAGGCAAAGGGAGATTTGAGCTGTGACACAGTCCCAGCAAAAGCCTCAGCTGACAAGCCAAGCTGATAATGTGGCAAACATTTCAATATATTTTTCTAGTGTGAGTGATAATACCATTTTTAACTTAGTTTATCCTTTTCTCCTATCTAATCTGTTCACCACAACCATAAGAGTTATCGTCACAAAATTAAAAGTCTGAATGTGTCTCACTCACTCATACAACTCTGGCAGTTTTTCCTAGCAACTTGAATAAACTCCAGGCTTAGCATTGACTTTTTTTTTTTTTCTCCATTATTATACTTTAAGTTCTAGGGTACATGTGCATAACGTGCAGGTTTGTTACATATGTATACTTGTGCCATGTTGGTGTGCTGCACCCATCAACTCGTCAGCACCCATCAACTCATAATTTACATCAGGTATAACTCCCAATGCTTTTAAGGCTCTTCCTAGCACATTTCCACCCTGTTTCCAGTCTCACTGTTAACTATTCTTCATTGTTCTCTCACATGCACTCTATTTTCTGCTTCTCTCTCCCCACCTCTCTCTTTCTACTTTACTCAAAGCATCCTGTTTATTCTTCATAAATTAAATAATTTACTATCAAGTTCTGTGCCTTTTCTAAAACTTCCTGGATTTCACTTTCTTGCTCATTTCACGACTCTTCATTCTTGAAAGACTTTATCAAATTATATTCTTTTGCTCTCCAAGGCTTCACCTTTTGCTCTCCAAGGCTTCACCTCACCCTTGGGAAATTTAAGTGTTCACATTTACTGGTGCATTT